TTTTCAATAGAATTGAAATGGATTTACCAGGCAGCAGTATTTTTGTTGGATTATTATTAATTTTTATCAATAATGAAAAAATAATTCTATTGTTGCAAAGCTGCAGAAAATACTATAATGGTTAACTATCACAATCCAAAGCAGTATATTAATAAAACAAATAGTAAATTTTCTAGTTAAAGGATATGCCTACTGAATTTCATGGAAAAATGAAGAAAGAATATTTGCTTCATGGCTCGTTCAGCTTCAGAAATTCTGCATAAAATGAAATTGTAGTAACAAGGGAATACATCTTGGGTAATAGTGAGTTCTGAATTTCTCAGGAGTTTGCTTAGAGGAATGTGATTTTTATTGTTAGCCTTAGGTATGCTTAAGCTCAAAGCTTTTTACACAAACAAAAATTTCTTTTTTTCCAGAACAACTTTAGTTGTATTCATTTGCTGAAATTAAACCGCATTTGTTATTCCTGTGAAGCAGAACATAACATAAACTTTTGATCTCTGATGCATGGCCCTTGGGATTCATGCAACCTGTCATATAAGCTAAGCTATTCTCTTCAAATGCAATGCTTGTGTTGTGCCTCAAGACATGATGGGACTTAACCTGCAGGAAGACATGATGAACTGCATGAATGTCACATGCTTGGAGAAAAGGTGAATTAAAATTAAAGGCATTATTTTTCTCCTGGGAAAAGCAATAAGCTCATACAGTTGAAGAAGCAAAAGGAATAACTGAGGAACAATAGAAGTTTCCTGAGATAGGGTTTACATTCATGGTCATGCATGCTCATGAATGACTAATCTTTTCTCAAAATGTATGAGATGAGATAAATTATTTTTAGTCCATGTCTCCAAGAGTTCAAAGTTCCTTCCTACTACAGCTCGTTCACCATTTAGCCCCTGCTCTCTTTCCATGTCAGAAATGTTGCTCTCTTTCCTTCTAAATCACTGATTCTGCACCCACTGAAAGGTGTCTCATTCCTCCACAGTTCACTGCCAGCATTAGTGGATCTGAGATGGACTTGCATCTTTGCAAGAGCAAGATCATGCCTGTGGTAGTTTAGCTTCATGATAGTATTCCCAATTATCCGATGAAAAGATCTGGTAGAAAACTTAACTGCTGATTCATACAAATTACCTGTTATGAAGTGTTACTTAACAGGAGTGTTTATAAAACATTAATTTTAACTTGTAGCAAGCTGAAAGGGAAAAGGCACAGGGGATATCAACAGGAAGCGCAGGAGACTACTTTGATTGCAATCTGAAAAGGAAGTGACTCAGGATGCTTTGAAGAAAGTAAAGTGTGTAAATGATAAAAGCTCCATGTGCAACCAGAATGAAGTTTTTCAAGATTTAAGCTGTGCTAAATGCTATTTCTCTGTAGCTATCGTTTTCCTTGTATACTTTTCTATGCATATTCCATAGTGCAAACATTGCAGAGAATGTAGTCTCCTACACAAGATGTTCTTGGACTTAAACTAATATTAGTTCTAGTAATTGAAATGAATACTTTGATATACTCCAAATGTTTTTATTCTTTTTCCAAACTGCTAGCAAATTTTCCTTCATGGGGAACATCTTCAAGTGAGCCAAGGGAATTTCAAGGTACTTACATATGGCACTAGTTTTAGATGAAAGTGGAATATGTGACTGATTCCTGCAGTCAGTCCAAAATTTTGAGGGTTTTTTTTTAATCTCTCAACCTGAATTTTAGATTGCAGAACCAGGCTGGAGTTTACAGATTACTTTTAATTTGCTACATTAGTTGGCATAAAACTTACCAAGTGAAAGACAAGGTACTAGAAACATGCTAAAGAGACTGTCATGTCTTGAGGTAAAATTGCTACCTTGCATTTAATATCACTTAACCTGCATTTTTCAGTTCTCTATTTGCAGAACTAGGGTGCTGGGTTCCTGTATAAGTCAGGTGAGCATTTAAAGATAGAGAATAAGTAGAAAAGATTTTCTGTCATTGGGAGAAAAAGTATAGTCATTAGACAAGGATAATTAATAGGCAGAATGCTGTTGCTGCTATCCTGCAAGTTTTTCCTAGCAATTACTTCAAATGACCTAGTTTAATGAAATTTTAATAAAGCTAGTTATTCTTCAAATCTCAAAAAATAATAGATAAAAATTAATTGTATCTTATCACCTTGGTAACTCTTATTCTGATTAGCTAAACACCAAATAGTTAGACAACGGGACCAATGTCTGTTTTACCTAATGGAAAATATGCAGTTCTTAAAATGTCTGATTAATTTTATAGCCACTCAGATTTGTGCCTTTGTTTATACCCACAGCAGTCTGTATTTCAGCAATGTGGAGCAGTTTGATAGATATGTTCCAGCTCATGATCCCTTTGGGATCCTTACATGAGTCATCTCAGTTTTCCTTAGTCAATCCCTCTCTTGCTTGGAGTAGTGCCAGCATATCAATAAATAAATGACCTTCTCAGCACAATAAATAAATAACCTCTTACCACATAGCTCTTCCAGACACATGTTTACTCCTTCAGGAAGTGGAAAAGTTGGGGTTTATGGCAGCCTCACCAGCTAGAACAGGGAAGGCTTGAGGTTGGAAGGGACCTCTGGATGTCATGTTGTCCAACTCCTGCTCAGACAGAGCCAATCTAGAATCATTTTCCCAACCATGTCCAGATGAACCAGCTGTGATGGTTGCCACACACCTCAGGGAGCCAGACATTCTTGTCTGACTGCTCAGCATGTCTGGATCCTGGTTGGCAGTCTAGCTCCTACATGTAATGGTCCTAGTGCAGGCTTAGACCTCCACACAATGTCAGGTATCTTCCTCAAAAAGGGCTATTTTTTTTCACTGTTACTTTCTAATCTGTATGTTTAACATAAGATGTCAATGGTCTCTTTGGTCACATCACCCCAGGCCAACATCTTTGACTTTTTCCATGTCCAAAACCAATTAGCTGTTGTTACCTGGGTTACTACCCACCTAAATGTGTTATACAGGTGTAAAATTCCGAAGTTTGTATGAGCTGCCTTATTTCTCTTCTGTGCCTATCTAAACCATCAGGGCAGTAATAGCACAGAGGTTTTGGGTTCTTGATTTATTTTCCTGGTAAAAAAAAAAAAAATAATAAAAAAGGAATCATCTAATGAGTTTGAGCTGGGAAGATGTAATGTAGGTCTTGTTTATCTGAGTGACGCTTTCAGGCAGGCTGTGCTCCATGATAAATTACTTAAAACTTAGGTAGAAATTCACTGGAAAACTAAAACTATCCTTTTTTCAACTGGGTGTTGCTGTGGATGACCTTCCTAATGTAAAAATACTTAACGTTCAGATTTTGTAGATTAAGTGTCAAGAACCAACTAAATAATGAAGCATCCCTAAGAAGAGAAAACTAACTTTCAACAGCAATGTGCTTAATGACAGAATGTTTTTAACAATAAGTTTTGGGGGGTTTATGGCTTACAGGGGTTGGCAAATTTTTCACATTTCATATAATCTCATAATCCATTCCAGCATACTCATTTGTATTTACAGTCTCATGTTTATCCATGCTTTCGTTACTATATTCTGAGTATCAGCTGAATTGGCTGGTCTTTTTCAGCCCAGCAAGAAGACTAATTCATTGTGTAATACCAATTGAGTTCATATTTGAGTAATAAAGAAATATGTGTACTTTACTGTTAAGTAACATTGAAATTTTTCCAAAAAAAAACTGTTTCAAGTGCCAAGGAGTGGAACAAACTGAATCGGAGAAGCTGACTGTGCCAAGAATTCAAGTGATTCCATTCAGTCAGCTTTTCCATCTTAAAACATGTTTTCTAAGTTTTCATGGGTTTAACCTCTTAACTGTGGACAAACTTTGTCATCTCAGTGCAATTGCATTTTTTTTAAATTATTCAATTTCAGTAGCATTAAATCACATTTGTATTTTACTTTTACCCTTAACACATATAATATGAACATGATAGAAATAAGTGTATTTTTGAAGTCCTTTCAAAGAAGCATGAGAGATAATGAATGGTTTCTTTCTCATAGAGTAAGCTTTGATCATTTTGCTGGTGGTTGTATTGGTTCAAGGAATCATGGAATCACAGAACCACAGAATGGTTTGGGTCGGAAGGTCGACATCCTTCTTATGTTGGGGGCCCCAGACCTGAGCACAGTATTGCACATGGTAATGAGAGCAGAGTGAGAAAATCACCTTCCTTGACCTTGTCTTCGCTCTGGCAATATAAGGAAGTGTCACATAAGAAATATGTATTTGTGGGGTTGCTACAGTGTTGTGTGTGTCTGTGTGTTCCTGCTTTACCTACAGCAATCTGGGCCTTTCTAAATGCTTTTGCAAATATTTTTAAGGCCATAAGGATTAATAAACTGGCACTTAACAAAATTTTGTACCTCAAGGTCGGTTGGAATTTGATGGGTAAGAGCTTTTAGTCTGAACTAAAAATAAATAGAAATGTTAGTGAAACAAGTTTTTCTCTGTATGGTAGTGAAGAAGTACATGTCAGGCTTGCAAAATGAAGTCCAAATCCTCATCCAGAAGCAGAGCTCAAGTCAAAAAGGATGTGATTCACAGCTGAATGACAAAACCCTCCTTCCCTGTCTTGCTGCAAAATGCAGCTGTGCTTATTTCAGCAGTGGAGCCACAGCTGTCCCCAGAGCTGGGAAGTGGGTATGGGTACATGAGGTCTATGACTCAAGTCTCCTTCTTTTGGTCCTGTAGCACTGAACATATGGAGGAACTATCTACCCTACTTCATCTACCCTACTTCATCATCTTCTGTATTCACAGGTTTCCTATGTAATGAACTGTTTCCAAACACTCCATGGTTGGTTTTGGGTTTTGGTTTTGTTTTGTTGCTTTTTGGGTTTGTTTTTTTTGGGGGGGGAGAGGGGTGTTGTTTGTTGTGGGTTTTGGGTTTGGTTTGGTTTTTTCATCTCTTTCTTTATCCTTCAGCTTTTCAGAGAGTATTCACAAATGCTTAGTTCCCTTTCTTTGTCATTTGGCTGTTGCAGGTGAGAAGCCAGGGACGGAGCAAGATGAAGTTAAGCTGCAGAACGCCAGCAAGCAGATTGTGCAGACTGCTATCCTCCGAGCAGTGCAGCAAGTTTCCCAGGAGAGCCAGCAAAAGGAGAAGAGAACAAACAGCAGTACAAGCCTCCAGCTAGAAAGAGGAAAATTAACCAAGAAGCATGAAAAGAAGTAAAGGAGCAGATTGGCTTTTTCAGCTCTCCAGTCTGCAGTGTTTTCAGCCTTCTCTTTAGTATCAGCTGTATTGCTAGTGCAATGCTACTGTCGTAAAGCAAACCAAAGTATAATCACACCTAGACATAGGGTAAAGCTGCAATAGTCCTCAGCTGAGAAATATTAAGTGCATTAGGTGACTAACTCCGTATTTATGCAGTGCCTCTTAACAGAAACAATAATCATAGCTATAAAAGTAGTTCCAAGCACAAGCTTTTATGATATGGACTTACTCTGAAAAGCTTGTTGTCAGTGCACTTTGATGTAAGTTCTGCGTGCAACATTTATGTCAGTTCAGCTGGATGGACTCTTCTTTGAGTTACTGGGTTCGCTGAAGCTGTCTTCACTGAAGAAATAGTTAGCAGAATGCTTTCAGGCTGTCTTGAAGCACGAGTTTTTACATTACTTTGATTAAACATGAACTATGTTGAAATGGCAGTATAAAGTAGGTTTGGTAAGTTCCGTGAGCCAATTTTTTTCTTCATCTTGGGATGGGGAGGAAAGCAATCCAGTAAGACTGCAGTGACTGTGATCATAGACCTATGATCTATGTCTTTTTTTAAAGAAGTTAAGTACTGAAGTTTTAGTCTACTTATTTGAAATACTTCTATATTTCTGCATAAAAATCACTTGTGCCTCAACTATTCCTTTTAATTTTCTTGATATTAAAAGAAGAGAAACTGATGTGCTGATATGGAGTTCACCAGCTTTTCCTTCAGTTTTGCAACTTTGCTGGGGCTTGATTTACAGAAAATCAAGACTGGAGTGGCTTAAAAATAGGTTTTGAATTTATTAATATCTTGAAGGATGAAAATACACTGTCTGAATTCCGTCATGGTAGATCTTTCTCACCTGCTGGGCATAAAGTGACTTCAGATATTTACAATTGTTAACATAGATTCACTTTAAATAGCACTGTGTTAAGCTGGTAATACAGAACTTATCCTTTAACTGCTCTATATCGCTTAAGAAATCCATGACTTTTCTGAAAATACAAATTAAATAAATGTAGCTTTCACTTCTATGCTCCCTTACTGTAATGATGATTGCACTATTAACATCTGAAATTAATAACAGTATATTTAATTCTAGAATAGCTTCAACTGAATTATTGTAGTAATACATCTAGAAATACAGAGAAGCAGATACACAGGATCTGCAAAAGAGACGAACTTTTGTAATTGCTTTTCTACTCAGTTAGATGATTCTCAAAGAAACTGGTTTAAGTAATTGGCTATTACTTGCTGTGTCCTGCTGCTTGTGTTAAACAATTTCAGGATTCTTTCTCATGGCTGGAGGCTTATTCATGAATAGCCACATTCTGCACATTCTGTAATATTAATTCTTCGAAAACTGCTTGATTCCTTTTTTTTTTTTTTTTTTAATTTAACAGCATTGACTCATAACAGATAATGATTTAGCTCAATCTTCTTTCACTTAAAAATGCGAAGAATTCAACATGATTAAAGTTTTTCTAAATCTTCTAATAATGAAAACTGACCATGATTGCAGGTACGCAGTTGGTTCACTTCCATAAACACTTGGTGAATTTTCCCAGCCAAGCAAACTTTGAAAGGTAGAAGTAATTGGGTCATGAGGCGTGTGCATGTTTGTTGTATTGGAATGTTTTTTCCTGTTAGCCTTTTTGTCAGTTGACCTTTGGCTGGGAGGTAGCTCTTTTGTAAGCACTCTTTACATCTTTGCTTTCTAAGAGCCTAAGAAAACTGATCATCAGTAAAGGTTCAGTTCTGAGGCAGGTGAGCAGGCAAGTCTACTGGATGAAGGAAAGCAGTCCTGTTGGAGACACTCCATGGTGCATAATGGTGTTTGCCATGGATTCACCTACAGTGCTGTAGGAAGGAGAGCTGTAGAACAGCAAAACCCTCATTTCTTTGGAGTTATTTTCTTTTTGTTAATGCTTTTTGTCCCTATAAATTTGAAAAATGTCTCCTCTTTTTTTTTATGTGCCTGGTAGTTATTTTAATAATCTGTGTGTAGTCTGGAAATTTTTTGCATGTCCTATTTTTGTAACTGCTAGAAAAAGAGGAATTTCAAAACACAGTGATTCCAGGCTTTTGCTGGATCCACTGCTTCACAAGAACCTATTCCATTTTCCTCCCACAATGCTCTTCTACAATATCACTTCACTGTCCTTGCCCTTTTAGACACACTATTACCAACCGTTAAATCATGCCCATCATTTTCAGTGTTGTCAGAAGTCTAGTATCTTGGAAAGAGAAGACAGTAGGAAGCCTAACAGAGCCTTGTGGAAGTTTTCAATGGTGTCCTATCAAGGAAAAACGAATACTGTAGCTTAAATAGCTTAGTTTTCCCTGAGAACCAAATAATGTGTCTATCTATAGTATATATCTCTAAATTAAGGCATGCATTTAGTATCTCTTATTGATGAAGGGTATTCTGCACACCACTTGCATCCAGGATATGTACTTGGATCTGTATTGTACACGAGAGCTGCACAGAAGAAAACTTAACACTTGGCTTGTTATATGCTTACTACATGGTGAAAGTGGGTATTTTTGCTATCTTCACTGACAGATTATATTTTCTGGACAAAACAGAGGCTAGAGAAATTATTACAGATGTGATACAGGTCTGATTACAAATAAAAAATCTCTTAAAGAAACTCTTAACATCTTACATGTCTCTGGTTTCTCTTGTTGAAGGGAAGCAATTTTCAGATTCACTAGACAATCTTATGAATCAACAATGTGTTCATGAAGTTTCTAGTAACGAAGGCACTATTCAGCACAATAATTCATATCTTAAAAGTAGAAGACAATCAAAATGGTATCTATGTGTGTTTAAAACAAACACCACCTATTAGCACCTATCAGTGCTAAGTAGAAGGATGCACAAACATGTGAAAGTATATTTATCACATGAAGAATTGTGTGCCTCGAGTTATCCTGTACTGAGCTTGCTGAGTTTTCATTCAGGTTGATTATTACAATCTTATTACAATACATGTGCTATTCTTTGTAAGGTAATCAAGCAGCAACACCTAAATGGAAATACTGGAAATTCACCTGGCCACAGCAGGATGTTGTAAAAGATTACTAAATGTCACTGTTCATAAAGTTTTTGGTAACTGTGTGGTTACATTGAAAATCCCTGCTCTAAAATTAAAAAACTAACAACCCTGTGGCTTAGCAACAGCCATCTTGATTTTATAATTTCATAAAAATAAACCCATAGAAATGGTAATATTAAAAAGTTGAAAATCCTTGAATATTTATTCAATAGCAAACAATGCACCTAAGAATCTTACAGTCTCTACTCATGTTGGTTTTGATGTTTTGTTTTGGGTTTTGTGACTTGTTGAGTTTCTCAGTTCGTAGTATGTCTACATTGGTAAGTATATAAAAATAGCTGTGCAACTTTCTTAATATGACTGCCATGAAATATGCTGCAGTTGCTTTTTAAATGTGTACTAATATCAAAAACAGGGGGTAATATGTCATTACTGAAAGTTTTTCTAAAAAAAACTAATCTAAATTAGGGAAAAGATAAGCGGAATAGCATATGTTCTTGAAAGGATGTGGGATTCACTCTAAGTCTCTTGCTTATCCACTCAGGTCTCAAAAGAAATTAGGGAAAACATGAGTATCGGCATAGCCTAATTTCTCTCAATGGATTACTGCAACACAGGGAGCAACTGTTCAAATAGTATCTGGGAGTGAGGAGGAAAACCCAAGCTGCTGGTAACCTCTTCCTCATCTAATACTCAGTAAAGACTGAGCAGCAGTGCTGATAAAGCCTGCTTTCTAATGGACGGGTTTTCTTGTAGTTGTCTTTTGGTGCCTCATGATAAGATCTGGCAGAACCTCTTTCTCTATTTTGGGTTTTCCAGAACAAAGGGTTTCTCTGAGGTCTAATATGTTTTTAATTTGTGCTGTGTCCTGCCTGTCAAAGGGAGCAGAAATAAGGTCCGGAGCTTCATTCGCAAAACCTGGTGGACGAACATGGGCTTTTTTTTTAAGACCAGTGTATCTTCCCCAGATTTAGTCAACATGAGCAACAATTTCTTTAAGACTGAATGGATGGGCACACATACTAGCTGTGTTTGAGTCATCTGGGGAACACCAAGAAATAGATACATATTTTAAATGCATTTGCTGCTAGGCTGTTCTTGTCTGCCAGGCAGATTTTCTTTGTTTAATTAACATAAGCAGCTTTTCTTTTTTAATAACTTTTCCTCCAGTGACTTGCTACTTGGATTTTGTTATATGAGCTTGCTAGTTTTAACACTAAACCAATAATAGTTCATGTTTAGTTTGGGTTTGATTAGAACCCCTGTGGAATTACACATTGTGGTGTGGCTTTTGTCTTTTCTTTCATTAAAGGTGAGTAGCAACAATAAATAAAATTCTAAAGAGTAGGAAATGTGGGACTTTGTTGCTGTGGCAGTGTTTTGTGCTGGGTTTTTTTCTATCAGTCACCTATAGCAGGAGGCCATACAGTGCAGATCATCCCATATCACTCACATGTGATGGTATCTGTGTGTAGAACTTGTGCAGAAAGAAAATTAACTCTTATGCAAGCTGGAAACTGAACCCACCTACACTGATTCTAAAATATTAGAGTAAGACACTCCTGGTAGCTTTAAGGAAGATGTTCCATGTGAGCTTTGAGAGTTGAAACCCATTTAGAAGCACCAGCTAGTGAAGACTGATTGTTTGCTTTGTGATCTGAGGTGGAAAATGAGCACTACTGTATTGTTCTAAAGACTTAAATGCTACATCCAGGACTTTAAATTGTGTCCTGTGGCAGGGTGACCCATTTGCTCCTGCCCTAAGGAGTGAGTATCTGCTATTCCCTGTGCACATGCATCCCAGAAGGTTAAGCCCCTGTCTCCAGTTGCTATAGCAGATGCACTTACTGTGTATTTGCTTAGTAAACATACATCCTGCTATTGCTTTTTCCCTTCATTTCTTTCATATG